TAAGGTTATTTGGAAGGACTCGAGTAAACAAACAATGATGCCGAATGAATATTCGTAATATTTCAATAGCGACTGTTCAGATAACATCGACATTTTTATGAAAAAAACAAAAAAAAAGTATTTATGTTACAGTGATCATTGCGTTCTGTTATAGGCCTGTGTAAAGGCGAAGTATCGGCGCTGAGTTATCCTTCTCATAACCGTTACCACTCTTGTTTTCCATCCCTTTTTGGGACTGAAGTGGAAAAATAGCTGATAACATAGTGTGAGACTTAGCCAGACAGCATTTTGGCCTTTGTTTGTAGTCATAACGTACTTATTTTATAATAAGGCCCGTGTGTCTTGATGTGAATAGTTATAAAACAAACGAGATATCAGCCCGTAAATTACCTAATTCATCTTAAGCCAATGTTGTTGTGACAGTCAGCCCAAACAAGCTCATGTTAGTAGCGACGTCTTTCGAAAGTATAATCTTTTTTTAATAAAGAAAAACCAAACTAAACAACTCATTCACGATTTTAAGCAAATTGAACCGAACTGGTTCTGGAGTCGACTGAGTCGGTCGAACACGTTTTATGAACAAACAGAGTTTTAATGAATATCATTTTTACATGAGAAGTGTAAATGATAAGTATATGTAGGTATGACTTTGTTGTTTTTATCATATGTAGTTCCATATAGGTACCGTGAATGCTTTTATTATAACACTTTAAGAAAGGATGAACCAGGTGCTCAAAACGAAACTAAAGAACAAATTTCGCTGAAATTGGTGAGGTTTAGTTGTCAGACACCAAAAGTTACCACAGTTGCTCGATTATTGCACGTTTCATACATCAGCAGCACGTGCTCAGTCAAGTTCATGAAACATCACAAGACCTCATGGTTCCCAGACTGAAGTTTTATCTTGTTCCTTTGTGTCTCTAATTCTTTGGAAACGTAGTTTGTCCTACTATATCAATGCAGTACTGTGTTTTCTACACTTGTCGTTTTATTGTTTTATGGTATTCTGTAGATACTGTCATATGCTGAGTCATGTCTTTTGTTCAAAATCTAGTTAGCTTGGTACACAAAGGCCTGCCTTGTTTCTTTTTCATTTCTGTTCATTAAATCGTTAAGAGAAAATTATGTGGAACAAATGCTTACACAACAAAGAAATAAACTAATATTCCAAGCAATTTAACTGGGAAGAACAGACAAACACTGGAGCCATTGTTGAGTGTTTTCTTAAAGCGACAGTTGACCGAAAATGAATATTTAGTAATTATTTATGCACCCTTAAACATACTCAATTTCATTTTGAACAGAACCTTCTTAGTTTCGGTGCCCTTTCTTGTTCGGTTGAAACTGAACCACAGGATAGGACTAACACGTTTAACGTGGACCTGTTAAACACAATTAAACTTGGTCCTTTGGAGAATTGATTGATACTTGAGACCCAAACCCATATCCAGCTCAGTAAAATGTCTGTGGTTTAATGCATCCTGTATTGTGATCTGCTGTATCTAATATCTGCTCGTACTTCCTCTCCACAGAGCAGCGGGTGGAGGATGTACGGCTGATCCGGGAACAGCATCCAAGCAAGATCCCAGTAAGCAGATTATATTTGTGTCTGTGGAGCTAGAGATGAAGATTAAAATTGATAACCAATTAACATCGCTTGCACACTTAGTATGCAAGTGTTGTAACGTTTTTACCAGTATAGACCTTTATAATAAAATATTGTCATTAGAATATGGTTATATTTGCCCTGTTTGAGGATGTTACATAGTATTGCATATTTGCATTTGATCCATTCATCATCACAAAACACTAAAGCAGGGGTGCCCAAACTCGGTCCTGGAGGGCCGATGTCCAGCAGAGTTTAGCTCCAACTTGCCTCAACATACCTGCCGGATAGTTCACTCACTCTAAAATGAAATTGTCATCATTTTCTCACCCTCATGTTGTTTCAAACCTCTATGACTTATGTGACTTCTGTGGATCAAATTAAAACAGATATTTTCTCAAATGTCTCACTATTTTAGTTCAAACAATGATCATTAATGGGGTCCAAAACAACTTGGACCCCAGTGACCTTTGTTGTATTGATGAAAAAACAAAAAAGACATTTGTTAAAATATGTTCTTTGTTCCACAGAAAAAAATAAAGTTTGGAGCAACATGAGGGTAAGTTAAATAATGATAGAATTTCCATTTTTTTGTTGAAAAAAAAAGTGTTTAAAACATGCTCAGCTGTGTGTATTGAGCATAATAGGTTAATCTTATGGATAATCTCAAAAGGAAGCTTGTCAATAGACCTAGTAAAACAGATAGCATATGAATGTCTGCGTTTGCATGTATGTATAGGGCCTTTATCAGCCTCTTAAAGACCAGTCAGTGGTATTGTAGCCAGGTGTCACCTCTATTGATAATGCCTCAGGGTTACCAGTCTCAATTGTTATTCAAGCTAACCAGGATAAAGTGGTCAACTTACCATCTGCTGAATAGACACAAACCACCACCCAGAGCAACTCCTTTGAATGGGAACGTTTGGACAGACTTGATTTAAGACTGAATTATTTTGTTTTAAATTATTCTAAAACTTAAATTAAATGTTTTTAGATTGATGCGTTGGACCACAAAGTGGTGGAAGAAAAATATAGTAAATATAATTTTAAAAAAAATACTGTCATTAAAAAATACATACCCCATTGTTTACAAATTTGGGGGCAATTTTATTTTTTTGTATTTTTTTTATTATTATTTAAAAATGACAGAAAACACATTTATTAAAAAAGATTTATGTTTCAAATAAATGCTGTTCTTTTGAACTTTCTATTTAAACACTCTAGAATAAATGTCTATCATTGTTTCCACAAATATATAAATTATCATGATTTCTGAAGAATCATGTTAACACTGAGGACTGGAGTAATTATGCTGAAAATTCAGCTTTATCATAACAATAAATTACTTTTTAAAATGTGTTATAATAGAAAATTGTCATTTTAAATTTTGATAATATTACTGTTTTACTGTATTTGTGATCAAATAAATTCAACCTTGGTTAGCATAAGCGACGTCTTTAAAAACGTACTGACCCCAAATGTTTAAACAGTAGAGCACATACATACGATGTACACTAAAATAAATATGCATATATACTAATGTTTAGCTTGTTGGTTTTGTTTCAGGTCATCATTGAGAGATACAAGGGAGAAAAGCAACTGCCAATTCTTGACAAAACTAAGTTTTTAGTTCCCGACCACGTAAACATGAGCGAACTTATTAAGATCATCAGGTAACACCAAACAAATGTCTTTTACCTCTTGCCTTTCATTATAATTTCTCTTTATCATTACTATTTCTGAATAAAAAACTTCGCTAATGCATCTCTGGTTCATGTGCATTTCCAAAAGGAGACGCCTCCAGCTCAACTCCAATCAGGCTTTCTTCCTACTTGTCAACGGTCACAGCATGGTATCTGTGTCCACCGCCATTTCTGAGGTCTACGAACGCGAGAGAGACGAGGACGGCTTCCTGTACATGGTCTACGCCTCCCAGGAGACATTTGGAACTGTGTGTCCTCAGTAAAAAAAATGGCAAACCGATTGGCTTTCACTCTCGGACAATGATACAACCTACCCTGAACTCTTGTGACCTCTCCCTTGCAAATATCCCTATCCCATTTCCCATCCCCATCCAAACAGGAACCAACTGAACTTTTAGTCATTTGGCTCACCAATCCCAGCCATTATCCAAAGCTAAATCCTAACTTCCCACATCTCAGCCCTTTAACCTCAGCTCCCTCTAAATAATTTGAGTTTTAATGATGGAACAGGAGTCGACTGTGTTTAGGTTGTAGGACAGGTTATGGTCAGCTGGACTAATAATCCGGATTTATTCAACATTAAGCTTGAACGAAAGACTTCTGGGTGTAGAGATGGAATCATCTCAATTTCTTGGCGGTTGAATTTCCGAAATGGCATTTAGTGTACCGTTAGGCGGCCAAATAGAGGTTATCCGTCAGGTTCATTCTGGTGACCTTTAACCCCTCCCGTTGTTCATCGAATCTCTGTATTTGTTGAGTTCGACAGCCTTTCCTTACCTGTAGGTGTCAAACTGTGTTTTCCGCTGTTCCATTTTCCTGTTAGAAGCAATTCAGTCTTTTCACCTCCCCCTCGAGGTTTTTGCTAATTGGGTCATGAGCGTTGAGGGTCTTGGATTTCACAACTCGGTGGGTAAGTCAAGGTTCGAAACGACGTCCTACTTGCCTTGTTGACATTTGAAGTATGATCCAGTGGGACATACCTGAGGAAATAAATAGCAAGCAATTTATAATACAAGAAATTCTGCTTTGATTGTAGTGTGAAGCTTTAAAAGGAAGGAAAATGTAATTATATTCAATGGTACATTGAGCGAATGAATGTGGCTTTAGCGATTGTGGCCCAAGGTAGAGAGGGCAGCTCAATCACGGACACGAGTGCTGCCCGAACATCCTTGCTCTTTTATGTGCATGCTTTTAGACTTTTCAATTTCATTAGAGGATTATTTACACCTTTATAAATACATAACCGTGAGCTGTTGTATTCTTTCCATCTGTATGTCTTACAGTAAACTGTACAGATAAGCTTAGTTGCCTTTTCTCCTGAGCATTTAATTGCTGTTTGTCTTGCTCTTATTTAAAGAGATGTTATTTTTTTGTTGTTTCGTTCTTGTAAAAATCAATTCATATGTGCTACTATTGTGCAATTTACAAAAGTGACTGTTTGTTTGAATGAGAGTTTAACTTTAAAGAATTATCAACCCATTATCGAACTAAGCTCATTTATGCATTTTCATTTATGTATATGCAATATCACACTTCTATTTCTGTTGACATTTTAAAAAATAAAAGAGAAATATGCATCCTGTCTGGCATTTTCTTTGATACTTTTTTCTTAAAAACGTCAAGCTTCTGTTGACCACTACCAAACAATTCTCAAAAACATTTTTAATTCATTTTTTAAAAAGTGTCAAAGTGATACATTATACAAAAATTCAGCAATCAAACTTCATTCAACATTCACCTCAGAATACAAAATGGCTGCGGCAACATTGTCGTTTTAGACCAAAAGCTTTCCTGCGATAATACTAGACATAATACATACAGCACGTAGTAAATCAGGCGACATGCATAACCAGCGACGCAAGATCTTTGTAATTTATAAACAGAAATATCACCATTTGCTTTGAAACATCAAAAGTGTTTGGCAATGACAACGGAATGGCATCTATTGGCTAAATGCGCCTAATGGTGAAAGTCTGACCTTTTTCAACACTTTGGAAAATTTTTAGGCTAATGTAATTGAGAAACAACATGGAAAACCCCACTTTTTGACCTTTGTAGTGTGCCATAATGAAAACGGTTTCCTCTTGTGTTCAGTTCTCAGTTCAAAAACTAAAATTCAGAAGTCTGAACAGTTTTTTGTACAGTTTCATGAATGCTAGTGAATTAAAAAAGCTTTAGCAGTCCCAAGTGCATTGACTGTATAAACATTTTATCTGAGCGCCACTTGACGTGGCACCTCTATGACAAAGAGAATGTAATAAAAAAATATAATTCGAAAGTAGCAAACGTTTTCAAAAACCCGGATATGAACAAATACGCCATGATTACAACAAACAGGAAGAACACATGATGATTAAGAAGACTTCCTGTAGTCAAAAAGCTAAAAAATGAGATTGAAAACGACTTTTTCGCTTTCACAATTGTCAGTTTCTCCTTCCTTTCTGAACATCCAGAAAAAAAACATTGCCAGTATCTTATTCACAAAGGATGACTTATAGTCGCACCATGAACAAAAAGAGGTGGCCATCATTGCACATTATTTGGCAAGCAAAATGCTTCCAAGAATGACATGTGCAGCATGATCTGATACACTACTGGCTGCTCCACAGTGCTCAAGCGAGTCTCAAGTGAGACGAACAGCGTGAAGAACACAAAAAGAGTGAATTCTTCTTTGAACTTCCCTTTACTAAGATCCACCGTGAAGTGATTCTTTGGCACAAGGCTTTAATTGGAAGCCATATCTGATGGAACTCCATCACTCGATCCTCCTGTAAAGAGAAACTGAAATTCCTTTGCTCAGCGGAGTCTCACATCAAGTGTCTTTACACACTGAGGAAGGTGCAGGTCCAGACCAGTTCATTCACACCATTTATTCCCCTGAGTCCTGGCTGTCTGACTGCGGGGAATATTTCAGACGAAAAGTCCCTGCAAAAACAAAACAATTGCTTGTTTGAAAATGCAAAAAATAACTCCGGTTTTACATTTTTTGAAGAAAGGTTAACCGAACTTTTATTTTGATGGGTTGCTGTGAAAACCTTTATGACGATAGGTTTACTCAAACGAAATGGTAAAATGCTCATGAAGTGACTCTCAGAGCAGTTCTAGCGTTCATGTTTATGTGTTTATGTACTCATTAAGGAGGCAGAGGCTGAAAACATTGCGAGTGTCACGCGTGCTTCAGTATGTGTGTAGTAAACGAAACCGCGCGTCTGTGCCATTCATTCACACAGAGACACATATTTAAATAGTCTTTTTGCGGCTTAATATTCACAGATACTGGTCCATATCGCGCTTTGATTTAAGTGTACTGACCTTTCGATTTATTTACTCAAAATGTAGCAAATTCCGTGACATTCCGCGTTATACAGTAAATTCCATTTTTGTGATCAGATTTCGCGATTCCATCTGCATTTTCCGCATCCCAGAAATCATAGGGCCCTAAAAAAGTATTCTGGGTGGATTCTAATTTGCTCTTAGGATGTTCTGGGTGGTTGCTAGAGTATTGCTATGTGGTTGCTCAGGTGTAATGAGTTTGCAAGCACTACTTATAAACAGTGCTGTTACCTTGTTGTGCAGAGTCCATTGCTGGCTGCTTGCAGTCTTGTGCTCGATGCCCACTCAGCCCACAGTTATAGCAGGACACATTCCCTGTTTTCTTATGCCCAGAACTTCCGTTTCCCATCGTTCCATGGGGCTGGTACACACCACCCCCTCCCCCTAGAAAACCCTGCACTGGTGGAAGCACAAGGTTTTGTTGTGAGTCATGTGATAGACTGCTGTTGTAAATAGGCGGGGCCACCAGGGGGTAGGAAAAGGGGGAGGCGGTACCACTTCCTGTAAGGAGGGGGCTGAAATGAAGCAAAGGCCCTAACGTGAATAATGACGTTCCTGAAAACGGATGTGGAAAATATCCGGCGTAGCTAACTGGAAGTGCTCCGTACGAGCCACAGTTGCCGCTACAACCACAAGAGCTACAAACGCACAATGAGGAACTGGAGTTAGCGCTGTTTGCTTGCACTGAGGCGTAGCCGCTATTCTCTGTGGATGCTGGGCTAGAACTGGGCGTGACTGTGGGCGTACTGTTAACACAGTATGTGTTCCCGGGTACTGCCGCCATGGGAACGTTGCTGGCTGTTGCTATTGGAACTCCACTGACAGGTGAGAAGGTGGGTCTGGTGGAGGAACTCGATGAGGGGCAGGAGGACGGGGTGGAGAGAGGGTACGACCCTGTGCGTGGAACAGAAAACGACACTTGTAAATGTAAGGGTGGGTGGGAAACATGATGGAGGGTGTTAGACGTGGAGGTGAGAGCAGTGCTGGTCTCCACCATGAGACCTGGAGGGGAGCGAAGCACTGTGAGGGGCCCACGGGGGCCTGACACATCCTGGTGCCTCGGAGAACCATCAAGATTCAACCCAGGGAAGATGTTCTCAAGCCGTACACCCACGGTGACCCCAGACCCCATCGGTTTGGGACGTTCTTCTGAACAGAGAGGGGGTGGACGAGGTTTGCGGGGAGAGTTGAGAACGTGGCCTGGGGAGGGGAGGGGCAAGGATGGTGGGGGCAAACTCAAGTTTGCGGGGAGAGTTGATAACGCGACCTGGGGAGAGGAGGGGCAAGGATGGAGGGGGCAAATTCATTTGGGAGGGACAGAGGGAGGGATCGTTCTGGACTGGGAGGACTTGGGCACACAGTATACTATACATACAATTACAGTAAACAATCCAATATCCATTATAAAAATATTAATGGAAAAAATCCGTCAGTTCTTACGTCTGTGAAGGTCTTTGACCCGATCAAAAGAAGTGTCACGTGATAAAGGGGTCATTGGACTGGAAGGAGCACTGGAATAGCCTGAGGAGGAACTGCTGTCCCGTGGAATGGGCAACAAGCTGTTCTCGACGTCTACCCGTAACTCTTAACATACACACAAAAAAACAGATCATAATCTCTTGCATTCATACAACTATATAAACTTTTGGATACTTTAATTTAAATGCTAATAACGTAAACATATCAATTAGTATTATTTTTTAGACATGTGTACAGTACCACTTCCAGTGTGTGCGTGTGTCAGGGGTCCAATATGACTGGAAGGGGTCACTCTGGCAACCCCACTACAGGAAACAGGAAACTGAGACACCACGTATCTCTTCTCCAGCTTCTCTCTGACAAGAAAACAAAAAAATATAATTTATTACTTTTTTATGTACCATTTGATGATAAACAATGACTGGACCATGAACGTCAAAGACTTATTTTGTAGAACATCATTTTCCAGCAATGACACCTAGATGGCGCTGTGTACAAAAACATCCCCGCACTTACTGCATGTGCATAATTCTACCAGTGCATTAATTTGAAGCTGATCATCTGTGTAGACTTTTTAGAAACAAAAGAAAGAATGTGAAAAACAATATTTTTAAAATATAGCCGATAGGTATAATTAGGAGGAAGTCGTGGCCTAATGGTTAGAGAGTCGGACTCGTAACCCAAAGGTTGTGGGTTTGAGTCTCGTACCGGCAGGGATTGTAGGTGGGGGGAGTGAATGTACAGCGCTCTCTCCCACCTTCAATACCACAACTGAGGTGCCCTTGAGCAAGGCACCGAACCCCCAACTGCTCCCCGGGCGCCGCAGCAAAAAATGGCTGCCCACTGCTCTGGGTGTGTGTTCACGGTGTGTGTGTGTGCACTTTGGATGGGATAAATGCAGAACACTAATTCCGAGTATGGGTCACCATACTTGGCCACATGTCACTTCACTTCACTTAGGCTGGTTCAAGTTCAAATGGGGCCTTTCAGTTCAGAAACTTTACAAAGTGGAGTAGAAATAAACATTATTTACGGTTTAGCTAGTGTCAGTGAGAACCACGAGACCTGTGAACCAGTATAACATTTATTGTTGTTTTCAGGCATGGAAAACCTCCCGAGGATTAGTTCCTGTTATCTGTTAAGATATCTTAGCTCCCACCACAGCTCTACCTGAGCAACGGAAACTTGCTGATGTGAGAAATGGAAAAAGAATTAGCATGATGTGTTTTCACTAAGGAATAGTTACTTGCTCCACTTCCATACTGATCTCAAACTCTCGATGCCAAACTCTTATCTGAAGGAAGTGATCTGCCCTGGAATTGTGGAAACTGACAATTTACCAACATTTAAATAATTGTTCAAATGCAACAAATATGGGTTACAGAAATAGTTTGCCCAAGAACTGTCAAAATTTTCATTATTTCCTCACTTACATGCTGTCCCAAAACCATATGCTATTGTGTTTTCTAACCAGGAAAAAACGAATGTTAAATTAATCTACATTAAATGAGCTCTACATACAATACTGTTCAAAAGTTTGGGGTCTGAATGATTTTTAAAATGTTTTTGAAGTCTCTTTTCTCACCAAGGCTGCACTTAATTGATCAAAAATGCAATAAAAACAGTAATATTGCATATTTATTATTACAACTTAAAAAAATGTTTTCTATTCAAATATATTTTACAATGTAATTTTTTTCCTGTGATGCAGTCACATGATCCTTCAAAAAAATCATTCTAATATGCTGATTTGCTGCTCAAGAAACATTTATTATTATTATTATCAATGTTGAAAACAGTCGTGCTGCTTAATATTTGTGTGGAAACTGGTACAAATTATATATTTACTTATATTTTTAAGAATTTTCTGATGAATAGGAAGTTAATTTAATGTGTCCTTGTTGAACAAAAGTATTCATTACTTTCAGGGGGAAAAAAATGAGAAAAAACTAAATCCAGTGTGATTCACTAAATAGTCTTATTCGCAATGATTGACGCTAAATGAGTTAACCAGTGTCACTGTTATTCTTTATAGCACAAAGACATTTCCTGTCTATGCAAATTAGGTTAATTTTAGATTGTACCTATTCACACTCTTTTACCTGGCATATTTAACGTTGCGCTATTTATACCCATGGAAAACAGACGATAAGCTGAATTTTATTCAAAAGAGACATTTGAGTACATTTTCCATTTATCATGGCAGAAGTAATTGCGTTTAAACAACCCCTCAATGTTTCTAAGGTTGTTTATGGCATGACGCACGCTGATCAAATATATCGGTGTCATAATTGAAGCACAAATCACACTCACTTCTGAAGCTCCAGCTGAGTCTTTAGTTTCTTCTTGGCCCCCTGAGTGAGGTCGTACTTGTTGAGATCCTCTTCTGTTAGAGCGAGGAACTGAGAAAGTGAATAAGGAGATCATAATTTAGATAAGCTGTAGTGGGAGAGATATGTCAGGAAGGAAATATGTATTTCTTGGCTGCAATATCCGAAATCTGCTCCCTAAACATCTCTTCCAATAAATGTAATCTCTTATCTTAGAGACGACTCTCGTACCAAGGGAAAGAGCCACTTGAAGTCACGTACCTCCTCCATGGTTAGCTGTTTGAAGACAGGGTAGTATTTATGCAACCGTAGTTTACGAAGCCAGTCCAGGATGCCATTCTGCTCCGGGCAGGGCTGCTGGGACTGGGCCTGGGGTTGGGGTGCGGGGTTTACGAGGTGCGTCTGTGGTGGGCTGGACTCCCCCATGGGTACGGCAGTGCCGGGGAGGATAGCCACCGCTGTCTGGGAAGGGAGAGGGGGCAGGTGGGCAGAGGAGCTCTGCGGGAGGGGCGCATGGACACTTAGGACAGGCTGGATGCTGGCAACACCACAAATGGGCCTGGGACAGAGTGAGAGCAGGTTTATGGATGGGGAGAAGAGAGATGTGAGAGTGCTTGTGGTGAAGGGTTGTTAACCTCACCTGCTCGCTCCCCTATACTGAAGCAGACAGCCCAGATCTGCAAAACATGGAAGTGACATGGAAGTGTGATTCAGAAATATAGCTTGATTTGACATGAAATGATCCAACTGAATCGGTGAATACTGCAGAAACAAGTCACATTTTAAATGAAAATGTAACCAAATTTAGGTTATTCAATAATCATTATTAAATCATTCAAATGTAATTTGTTTAAACAAAATAACATCTGATAAGGACCATTATGATTTTTTTTTCAATTCTTTAAATTGAAAGTATATTTTAATTAAATATAAAATTTATTTAAAATTATTTTATTGAAAAAATATATATAAATATAATTTGTATAAACAAAATGATGACTATTTTTATTATTATTATTATTATTATTACCATATACCATAATGCATTCAGATGTTTTTGCATTGTTTCACAGTTTCACAGCAAAAGATGTCATTGGCTTTATTTTATTTAGGCAAAATATTATTTCTTATTTCTCCCTTTGATTTTGAAGTGGAGTATGAAGCTGGGCATATTTTTGACAGATTTCATGAACTTCAAATAAATCTTGGTCTGATATTTTCAAATCAGAGGACAGACTCTTTTATTTTCCCCTCTTACCATGACTTATCTCATCCTCACTTACACTTACAGTTTTTCCCCCATGAGCCCAATTCAAGAGCAAGGCTATAAAACCGACTTTTCGAAGCTATAAAAGCAGGTTCAGTTCCAGCTCTGCTCCAGACGGACCACTTGCACTGATGTTATTCCAACTACAGTCTATTGAGTTGTTAACAACTGTAATATTAATAATAATAGTGTCTAGAATAATTAGTTTGTTTATTGCAGAGCCCACTCTTATTGTACTTGATAGCGAAAAATTACATGTTGACTGAAAAATACAATCTACAACACAAATGATCAAGCAATAAGAATTTTGCACTTCTTTCTATCCAAGGGGGTTTCCGTCCCTTCCCCCACCACTAAAAAACTAAAAATAACATCACAGACACACATCTAGGTTCTAGTGGCCTTTCGTCCTATTAATAGTTTCCCAAGATGAGGTCACTTCTGAAGCCTCCCAGCACAAGCAGGTCAAATCAAATCCCCACTGTGCTGAAACAAACTCCCCATTTCCCCAAGAGATGGTGTGGTCCAGAAACAAACCTGTATGGTGACGCGTGAGGGATGAACCATTGCGAGGCAGGAATAAGGGGCTTACTTGTGCTAGTAGGGAGCTGAGGTGCAGGCGAAGTGCTGAAGAAGAAACGGACTTTGTCATGTTTAAGAACTTGAGGCGGAAGAGAGGTCAAGCATCTGTGGAGAAGAGTAAAAATTCACAAATTTTAAAATGTATTTTTTCCCTCCATTTCCATGCACCAATAATATATATATATATATATATATATATACAAATTTCAATATGCATTAAAAATGCCACTCTGCATTTTTGCAACTGAATTTTAAATGTAAATTGTAAATGTTCAGTTTATAACCCAGCCCTAGTAAAAACATAATATAATTGAGAACTTGTTCTCTGTTTTTTGCATTTCATGTTAGGATTCAGAAGTACCGAGGATCTAGTTCATGAGTGGAATCAAGTCCAGGCATTTGGGGCAGAAGTTTCTCTAGACATTCATCGGGAAAAAGCTGAGATAGCTGAAGAGAGAGACAACAGAGACACAATCACACAGTTTCATGACGTTACAACTTGTCAGCACTCATCAGTGAACACATTCACTGGTTTTCAACTTCACAGCACTGATTATTCAACACAGTCAAAGCCATTTTGACTACACAACCTTCCAGTCCAGTTGTGGGTGAGAAATTGAGATGAATGGAAATGTTAAAGTATAAAGTATAAAGGGATAGTTCACCCAAAAATGAAAATTCTGTTATTAATTACTCACAAGATATTTTTGATTAAATCTGAGCGCTTTCTGACCCTGCATAGACAGCAACACAACTGATATGTTCAAGGCACAGAAAGGTAGTAAGGACTTCGTTAATGTCAAGACATCATTCTTTTTGTTTTCTTTGTGCACAAACAGTATTCTAGTAGCTTCATAACACTAAGATTGAACCACTGATGTCACATGGACTATTTTAATAATGTCCTTACTACCTTTCTGGGCCTTGAATGTGTCAGTTGTGTTGCTGTCTATGGAGGGTCAGAAAGCTCTCGGATTTCATCAAAAATATCTAAATTTGTGTTCCGAAGATGAACAAACGTCATGAAGGTGAGTAAAAAATTACAGAATTTCCATTTTTGGGTGAACCAACCCCTTTAACAATTATTAGAAACCACTTTAGTAGTTTACTTTTAAGACTTTTCATCTTTACACACTAGCTCAACATTTCTCACATCCATGAAACACAACACAAATGACTGTCACTCACCTGGGAGATAAACTCCACCACTTCATGAGGGGTTTTGCTGACAGTCGACAAAGTGGAGTCGGACCACAAGGCCTTCGACCAAGAGAAAAGTATGACAAACATATAACATGCCAAGTACATTACACATTTTGGCTACAATTGTTCTGTAAAAATATGACAACTACAGAAAATACCTAATTTTCATGGATATATAATATAGAGCAGCACATAGAGATACAATATACAGGAGATTTTGTTCAAATTTTCTGATTTTCAGAGTCTCGAAACTCACCTCCAAGACATATTCTGTTGGTTTGTCTGATTTGGGTGTAACTCCCCTTAGTTCAATTCTTTCAATGTACACTTCAAAAAGACAAGCAAAAAACACCATGAGTATAAAGATTCACATCTGTTAAATTTTTACTTACTATTTATCAAAGAATCCTGAAAAACCGTACCACGGTTTCCACAAACATATTAATCAGCACAACTGTTTTCAACATTGATAATATTAAGAAATATTTCTTGAGTACAAAATCAACACAACAATGTTTAATACTGAGTATCAACCTCTCTGAAACTGGGCCTGAAATACTCTGAAAGTACTCTGTAAGCAGAAAGTTTATTGTTTATGAAATCATATCCACAATATTTCCTCTAAATTATTGGATTGTTTCACTTTTGCATTGCACACAACAAAACTTGCATTGACCATAGTTGCATTTACCCCAAATAACTGAATGAGTTACGTTCACTCCCCAAGTCTTGAATAAGAATTAGACACATACTTTCCAAATTGTATTATGGTAGTATTATCACAGACTGTTTGGTTTCTATTAGAGGAGAGGAGTATGTGAGAAAATCCTCCAGAACTTAATAACCTCTCAGGTGCTTTCTGGCAGGTTAGAACTCGTTTGAGCATATTTAGCTAAAAAGGAAAAACCTGAGAGGTGAGAATTTGAGCCTCCAGGCAGTTTATTTCACAACACATTTTGATGGCAAACCAGCGTCTTAACTGCTTTAAGATGAAGTTCTAAAGTAAAAAAAGTGAAAATAAGGAGGAACAGAAGACAACATATGTATTGTGTTATAACTTTTTAATTTTACATTTTTTATTTTTGTTATATATTTCTGTTCAAAAGTTTGGGGTCAGTAAGATTTCTTTAAAGAAATTAATACTTTTATTCATTGATCGAAAGTGACAATAAAAACATTTGTAGTCTTACAAAATATATATATTTTTTTAAACTGTTCTTTTGAACTTTCTAACCATCAAAGTAACCTGGAAAAAATTATCACTGTTTCACTGCAGCACAATTGTTTTTAACATTGACAATTAAAAAAAAAAAAGTTTCTTGAGTTCCAAATGAGCATGAGAATGATTTCTGAAGGATCATGTGACACTGAAGACTAGAGTAATGGCTGCTGAAAATTCAGCTTTGCATCACAGGAATAAATTACATCTTAAAACATATTTAAATAGGAAACAGTTCTTTTAAATTGTATATAATTTAATAATTTTTCAGAATATTTCTGTTTTTTACTGTATTTTTAAATCAAAGAAAAGTTGCCTTGGTGAGCATAAGAGACTTCTTTTAAAAACATTTTTTTTAATCTTACCAACCCCAAACTTTTGAACAGTAGTGTATGTGACTTTCATATAAGTGTGCCTCAAGTGTCCAGCTGAAGTGTGTTCATTTGCACACACGCGCACACACACATACACACGAGTGAGCAGGAATGCATCCGGAGTCTGCTCAGCGTAAACATGGGCGAGCGTGTTAAATATACCCTGCAGAGTCAGCACTTCCTGTAGTGTGTGTGGAGAGAGAGAGAAGGCTGAATGGAATTCTGTTGAGTTCAATGCCGCAAAAGATCTAAGAGCAATAGATTGCCTCCAATTCTTTCAATCATTGACATAAATATTCCAGCCATTTTTTTAAAAACAGATGCTAAGATCGAGCAAACTACTAACACCAAAAAATGGTCTAGAAAAAATAGTAAGTCATACAGTTTAGGAGTGACTTGAAGGTTAATAAATGATTGCAGAATTTTCGTTTTCTTTTTTAACGGTGCACAGACACACTCTTTGACAGTCTCATCTCTTTCTTCATCTCCAGCAGGCAAGTGTGAGCTCATTTGGAATGTTCCAGAGAGGAGGAGGCCTTTCCCTTCAGCAAAGAGAGATGCCTGCCTGCTCCTCCCAAACCACCCGCCAAACCCCTCATTACACTGTGTGTTTTTATATGTGTGTGTGTGTGTGCGCCACAGAGTGAAAGTCAACCACAAACCCAGAGAGAGGTCACTGCCAGAGGAGGAAGAGATTTGTGAAGTGGTTTGAGTTGACAGTCACAGTGCAGACAGACAAAGACAAACGGGATGAGATGCAAAGCATCTTTCATCTGAAACAAAAAATTATTTAAAGAGCATTTGCTCATCTGCAATATGTCACTAAAACTTTCCCTGTCTGATGTTACAACTCAGATCTGTAATATTCAGACATTTCTGAGATGTTTCTAATTAAGATTGCATGTAATCTATTATCTTCTTATAATAGAATGTGATGCTTTCTGTGATGTGTTTGTATCTAGAAATGTTATTTTAGAGCATTTGCTTATTTTTCATTGCTCTAAAATGTTTAGCCACATTAGTTCTGCTTTAGGCTATGCATTTCTACACTGTTGTTGTAACAATGCAGAATAAAAAAAAATTAAAAATTCATTAAACACAAAGAGCCCACATGAAACAACACATGAAAATTCTGTTTTAACACATTGTTGCATTATTGTTATATTTTATTTTATTTTTAAAGACATTATTCTTATTAATAACACATATATAAAGATGTTTTTATATAGCAATAATAATAATAAAAAATAGTTAATGATTAATCTAGAATTATTATCACTATATAACTATTATAAAAATACTAGGGGTGTAACGGTTCACAAAATTCACGGTTCAGTTCGATACAACGCAGTGGTGTCACGGTTCGGTTCGGTACGGGGGTAATTGGTTACGTCGCAATGTTGGAAATATTTCTGTTTTAAACCATGAAGGTGAGCCAATGGATATCACACACAAACAACGTGCAAACTTTAAGCAAGAGTTATGCCTGTAAACGTCTTAATCTCAGTCAATTCACTATGCAGAAAGTGAAAGTAAAAACAGAGTAATGACGGAGCTTTCGGCATCTGACGGCGCATATTCTCTCAGAGACGACGAGAGACGAATCTACTTCAACATATGCTGATAACGGTATATATATAGCTAACTGTTTTTATTTATTCCCTTAATATTTCTAATATTACATAGTGAGAAAAAAAGAGAAGAAACATATTTTGTGTAAAACAGGTTGTTTTTGAAGGTCGGTGCTTGAAATAAAAGCTTTTTATTTCATTGATTTTTATTGATGTCTGAAGCGTTAATATTTTAATCATAGGCCTATTGTATAGACCTGTTTTAAAATACCTTTTTTTAAAACATTTTAACTGAGGAGGAAATATATAGCCTAATGTTTTGTTATCCTCGCAGCACGTCAGTTATCTGGTAATTATTGCGGGGCAAATTAATTGTAATTTTAATTTAATAATAAAAGTAACTTCATAATAATAACAATAGGCCTAATAAAAATAAGAATGTAACAGGCCTACATTAATTGGAAATGCCAGATATCTTAATATTGCCAACAATTGATGTTTTTGACAATATCTCTAGCTATCGTCGATACAAGATCATTAGTGGTGCAACGGATTACAAAACTCATGGTTCGGATCATATTAAGGATTTTGAGTCATGGATCTGATCATTGATCATTATAACTTTGTGTTTATGTGAAAGAGGAATCGATTCGCTGTTCACGCAGTGTCTCTCTCTCTGTGTGTGCTTCAGGTGTGTGCGGCAGCGGCTGAGCGCACAGAAAACAGCACGCAAGTTAAAATAGCTTGAATGTGTAAACTGGCAAGACAAAACATGTGCAAATGATAAACTTTAACTTTATGATGGTTAAACTTAACAGTTAATCCGCGAATCACATGCGTGCCGAACCGTACAGCCTGATCCGCACGGATCACGGATCATCTACGATCCGTTGCACCCCTAGTAGAAAGGGACCTGATATTCAATAAGCCAAGCTTTATCATTTGTTTATCCGTATTACATCTGTTTTTAATTTGTTGAACATCAATTAAATTGTTACTCTTAAATTGGTTTGACGTTTTTTTGTATTTTCTAGTTTGGGGAACAGACACAGGGCCTCATTTATAAAATGTGCGTACGCACAGATTTGATCTTAGAGTGTGCGTACACTAAAATCCACGGCAACGTTCATATTTATAAAAACAGTCTTTGACATGGAAAAGTACTTACTGCAACGTCAGGGTCTGAGCAGGCGTACGCACTTTTCCTTGTGGCAAAGTCGGAGTACTGCAGCTATTTGAACATCTAAG